TTTTTTTTTGGAGACAGTGTCTCATCATGTACCTTTGGCCTGGAACTACATATGTAGACCAGGCTGGGCTGGAACTCACAAAGATCTGCCTGCCCTGGCCTCTCAAGTGCTGGGATTAAAAGCGTGCACCATCACACCAGGCTCAAATATTTTCACGGGGGTAGAGGGAGAATAACTGTTCCAAAGACAGCTGAAGGAAATGTAAATAAATCCTTCAGCTAAAAAATGCTTTGTGACAGAATTATCTGAGACTAAGGAACACTCTCAGAAATCAGTATCCCACGGGCAAAACAAAACACATGAACCATTTTTATAAGGAAGTAAGTTCCTATACTAATATTTCAATTGAATATAAGAGTAATATATATGCACAACAGAAAGTAATACTCATTCTCTTCTATATCCTATATTCACTATACACAGTGAAGGGGTTCACAGACATTTTTGTTCAATTATATTATGTATTTTGACCATACCCATCCCTCTCCTTCCAGCTAGTACTCCTTTTCCCAGTCTTGCTTTAACTTTCATAACATATGTGTTTATGTGTGTGTGTGTATATTTATGATTTTATGTGTACACATAAAAACCTAGGATCTATTTGAGAGAAATAATGTAATGTTTGAGTCTCATTTATTTCACATAATATAATTATCTCCTGTTTAATCAATTTTTCTGAAACTTCCCTACGTTCATTCTTCCTTACAGATGAATTAAAAAAAAAAAAAAAAAAGATGGTTGCTATATATACCACATCTTCCTTATCCACTTATTTGTTGACAGGCACCTAGGCATATTCTGCAGCTTGTCTATTGTACACAATGCCACAGTAAGCACAGATGCAGGTGTCTGACTTGGCTTCCTCTTGGTATATCCCCAGAAGCAGTATAGAAGCTCATCATATGCTCAATCTAGTGAAGAGTTTTGAGGAATCGTGTATGTGGCTAGACTAACTGACATTCTCACTAGAAGCTGCATCCTTGCCGGCTTTCGTTAATCGATTTCTTAGTAACAACAAGTTTGGCTAGAGTAAGATAGAATTCTTCTTCCTTTTGAAACACTGAATCCTTGGCTAGCCTGGAACTCACTATGTAGACCAAGCTGGCATCAGACTTGTGGCAATTCTCTTAGCTCTCCCTTTTGAGTACTGGGATTGCAGATGTATTACACCAGGTTTTTAATACTTTATGCATTCTAGAAATCCATCCTCTCTCAGCTGTTTAGCTACCCAACATTTCCTCCATCTTGTAGGCCATCTTCTTCCTCGTTTAACTGTTGCCTTTGCTATGTCAAAACCTGGTAATTTTATACACTTTCATTAATGACATAAACTAGTCACCTGGGAAGACAGAACCTTAACTGAGGAAATGCCTACGTCAGACTAGCCTGTGGGCATGTCTGTGGGGGCATTTTCTTGATGCTAATAGAGGAGGTACCACTCTTGGGCAGATGTGCCTAGGCTGTATTAAAGGCCATGAATGTGAGGCTGAGGGGGAGCCGGTCAGCAATGGTCCTCCTGGTTTCTGATTCAATCTGACGAACTATAACCTAGAATCTACTATAGAGTTAAGAAACATATAGCAACATATAAATGACTCAGAAAACAATGCAACAAACAGCAGTTACTTAGGTTTACTTACGTTTCATATCCATATTTCGAGTTTTATAAACAAAGTATGTATAAATCTGTGTTGTACGTATTAGAATCTGGTCTCCACTATAGCGTATTGACCGATACCACCATGAGCCCTAAATACAAATAAAATTGAACAAGATATAAAGCATGAAAAATTATAAATATTAAGCTTGAGGCAGCACAATGGTTTGTGTGTGTGTGTGTGTGTGTGTGTGTGTGTGTGTGTGTGTGAATTTTCCAAAAATTTACTAAGAGCAATGAAGTGCTTGAGCTTGTTCCATATTTCAAAAACTTACTAACAAATACTGACACTGCCAGACACCTAAACACCAACACAAATCATCAGGCATGATTAAAATGCTTTAAGTTTTAGGCAGAAACTGTTCAAAAGATAAAACAAGAATAAAACCACTCATTGCTATAAGCAAATAAAGTGGTTTCTACTACAAAATTTGATAAGTCTCGGGGCCATTTTATAGCTGACATATTTTCATTCAGGTTCTCAAGAGATTGGATCTTACACAGCAATCCTATGGAGAGGTCAAGACAGATGTATAATAGGACTTATGGAGCCACAAAAATCCAGGATCAAAAAGAACACATGGCACAAAGAAATGAAAGATGAAATAACTTTTTGGTAGCTCTTCATTATATAGTACTACACAGTTATTTTTTAAAATGAGTGGCTAGGGATTGGGGACATGCCTTAATGGCTAAGACCATGTACTGTTCTTATAGAGAACCTATCTTCTGTTCCCATCACCCACATCAACTAGCTCATAACTATCCAGATCCAGGGAATCCTATACTCTCTCCTGGACTCCTTGGACACCTACTCTCATGTGCACATACCCTACACACACATACATAAAAATAAAAATAGGCTGGGCGTGGTGGTGCCTTTAATCCCAGCAATCAGGAAGCAGGGGTAGTCTGAGGCCAACCTGGACTACCTATCAAGTTCCAGGCCAGCTAGAGTTAGGTAGTAAGACCCTGTTTCAAACAACAACAACAACAACAACAACGTGTTTAAAAACATCACGTTGAATTGATTAAATTCTAAATCAAAATCTTATGGAGCAACTACCCCAAAACAATCAATATAAAGTAGTAGAACTTACCACAACAACAGGAAGGATAACCATAAATGCCAATCCATATACAAGTAAAACCTAGAGTTAAAGAGAAAGTAGTTATGCCTTGGTCTGGTAAATTAAAACATTGTCCAGACTTACAAAGAGGTCCCACTATTAAAAAGCACTCTGTTACTTGATCCTTTATAACGAAGGTACCTTTTGGGGTTTTTTTGTGGATAGTATAGCTGAAGTACAAACAGATCACAGAGCTTGCCCTAGGCACACAGGTTAACAGTGTTACTATAGTCAAACTCTAGAGCTTTTCTGTCTGCTATACAAATCACCTTTTAATTTACATCTATATACTGATGTAATATAGATTAACTGCAAAAGTTTTATAAATTATGTCTTCCTTCCAGTCAAGCATTTTCTATAGTCACATCTTGCGAGTAGTGCTGTGAAATAAATTATAAGGCCTTACAAACTAACTCTAGTGCCTAACTACAAATGTGCCATTAAATTTTTATTTGATAGTAACTACTGAATTTTCGCCTATAGCTTCATCTGAAATCTGTCAGCTATCTTTTCCTTTCCTATTATTCCTACAGTAGCCCTAAGTATGATAGATGCACTTATAAGCAGCAAGTATACAAGATTATCAATTTTAATGTCACAAAATAGGCATTTTCAAAAAACTATAGATTAACTGTGTATATTTTGCTTTTTAAAGTTTAAAAAAGGCTCCTCAGACCAGCAGGATGGCTTAGTAGGTAAAGGTACCTGCCACCAAGACTAACTAGCTGAGTTCCAGTTCTAGGACCCATATGGTAGGAGAGAACCAACTCCAGCAAGTTATCCTCTGACCTCCACACATATGCTGTGACCTGGGCAGCCCCTCCCCCACAACACAGAGGGAGAGAGAGGGGGGGAGGGGAGGGGAGGGGAGGAGAAGAGAAGAGAGACAGACTGACAGACACAGAGAGACAACACACACATACACACGAAAGACAGACAGACAGACAGACAGACAGGGAGAGAAAGTAAGAGAGTATACATTTAAAAATAATAAGGAAAGATTAAGTTAAAATAAAACAGCTCCTAGATAATTACTTTCATGAAACCTCAAGTAGAGAATCATCAATTTGTAAACAATGTATTAAGACAATTCCTGATGTTTTAGGGCTGCAGCAACTATCAGAGATAGAAGCCTGTCTGATGTCCCATTGTTTCCTAGTATGGAATAGGTATATTTCAATTGACAAAAAGTAGCTTAGTTTGAGTAAAGGTGAAATGAGTAAGTTAAATTATGAGTTCACCTTAAATAAATTTGGCTACCATAAAATCCAGTAGTTCTCAAACCAAAAATAGGACACTAACCAAAAATACTTTCAAAATAAATTAATTCAAACTTAGAATACATTGCTGCTGGGCGGTGGTGGCGCACGCCTTTAATCCCAGTACTCGGGAGGCAGAAGCAGGCGGATCTCTGTGAGTTCATTCTACAGAGTGAGTTCCAGGTCAGCCAGGAGAAACCTTGTTTCAAAAACAAAAAAACAAAACCAAACCAAAACAAAACTACAACAACCAAACCAAAAACAAAATTAGAATCCATTGTCCTAAACTAGCATGTAATTACAACCAATTCTTTTCTCTTGCTATGTAGCTTTCAAAACACAGTACCAAGTAAGTGCATGTGAGAGTCTCTGTGGTAAAGTTTCATTACATCACACCCTAATACAGTATAGAACAAAAGTATATCAAGAACATCAGAACAGGCCTTATATAAATGCACTCACCAGAATCGAATTTTTCTGGTCAACTATCCAAGCTGGCAAGGCAATTCCAAAACTTGTAGCTGAAATAAAATAAATAACTGTTCTAAAGATTCTGCTTTCAATTTTATTTATCTGTATCTCAAAATTAAGTTTCCTCACCATTTCCCGAAAAAACTTCTTACATTACATAAATTTCCATTATACAAACTTAAAAAATACACCCAGGCTTGTACAACATTTGAGAAACTGAGGCAGGAGGATCAATGGAAGTTCAAGGTCAGCATGGATGAGAATGAGACCTTGTCTTAAAATACATGAATGTATGTATGTTACAGAAGAATGTACATGAAACTTCATAGTTTTCAATGGGGAAACTTTTTACACTTAAGTTTCTTTTCACTAGAAAACTCAAAATACTTTCATGCCTTGAATTCATATAAATGCTTGAAAATATAAGAAATAAGTAATGAAAAATTTTTTGCATGGGCTCATTGTGTGCACACATGTATGCATGAATGTGTACATACAGGTGCCATGCACATGGAGAAAATTATTTTATTATTTTTAAATTGTAAGTATGTGTTTGTATCTTGTTTTTTTTTTTTTAAGATTTATTTATTTATTATGTATACAGTGTTCTGTCTGCATGTGTGCTTGGACACCAGATCTCATTACAGATGGTTGTGAGCAAACCACCATGTGGGTGCTGGGAATTGAACTCAGGACCTCTGGAAGAACAGCCAGTGCTCTTAACCTCTGAGCCATCTCTCCAGCCTGTCTGTATCTGTTAATAGGTATATACACATGAGTACAAGCACCCCCAGAGACCAAGGTTAGATCTCCTTGAAGCTGGAATTATAGGCAGCTTTGAGCTGCTCAACATGGTGCTGGGAACTGAAGCTTTTTGTGTTTTCCCCACCAACATACTTTTATTGGTTATTTGGGAATTTCACATAATGTACCCCAATATCTATCTATCTATCTATCTATCTCTCTCTCTCTCTCTCTCTCTCTCTCTCTCTCTCTCTCTCTCTCACACACACACACACACACACACTTCCTAGTCCTCCTAGGTCTAGCCCCTTCACTCCAGTTACCTACCTCCCTAAAAAAGGAAGAAATTACCAAGTCCAATATATGTTGGGAACCAAAGTCTTTTAAAAAAAAAATTAAGTAAAAAGTAAACAGGGAGGCTGGAAAGGCTGCTCAGTGCTTCCGAGCACTTGCTGTCTTTGGGCTGTGAGCCTAGCCGTTAACAGATAAGCCACCTCTCCTGCCCCAAGGAGCTCATCAGTTAAGAGCATTTGTTGTTCTTGCAAGGAACCTGGGTTCAGTTCCCAGCACCCACAGAGTGGATCACAACCATCCATAACTCCAACTTCAGGGGATCCAATGTCCTCTTCTAACCTTCACATACATAAGCAGCACACTTAAAATAAATCTGAAATAAAAGATATAGGAGTGCTCTTTCAGGATCCAGGTTCAGTTCCCAAGGCCACACGATGGCTCACGATGGCCCCCAAACTCCAGCTCTAGGAGATCTAATCTCTGTGGGCACCAGTCATGTGTATGGTGCACAAACATAAATATAAACAAAAACATATATGTAAAGAAGTTCAATGTATTCATCTAACTTCTTGTGGCTGTAATTTTCATACCCATAAACAAAGAAAAATCAACACTCCTCTTATTCTAGTTAATATTTTCATAATATACAATACTAACAACATTTTTATATTCACCGCACCTTGAGGCCCATCTGGATTTCCAAATTCTTCCCAATTTTTCCGAGACTCTTCATCTGTTAAACTACCACGAAGAAAATAGGTACCAAAATTAGAAAGCCATGCCCAAAAAAGTAAGTATTCAAATGTAAGAACTTCATTAGGCAATCAATATCTTTGTTTTTAGGTTTATTTACTTGTGTGTGTGTGTGTGTGTGTGTGTGTGTGTGTGTGTGTGTGTGTGTGTGTGTGTACACAAGAGCACAGGTGCCCACAGAGACTTTGAAAGTCCCTGGAACTGGAGTTACAGGAGGTTGTGAGCTGCCCAAACTGGGTGCTGGAAACTGAGGTCTTGGGTTCTTTGGAAGGCAGAGTGGTAAGCACTCCTAACTGCTCCAATGCCCCACACCCTCGCCACCTGAAGCAAACTCTCTTCTGGAAAGACAGCAACCCCGGCTGGGGAGGAGGCTCACTCGGTAGAGTGCTTGCTCTGCAGGCATGGAAGCCCCCAGCACCCTGTCAGATAAACCTGACAAAGGTACGGCGGCCACCGATAACCCAGCTCTCAGTTGACAAAGACGGGCTGCACCTGGACCAAGCTGCTTATCTACTGATAGACTGAAGTGAGAGAGGCCTTTTCAGTAGATAAGGCGGAGTGACCTAGGGAAACACCAACGCTAACCTCTGCCTCTACATACAGGTACACCCACATGTGTGAACACACATACCACACAGATATACATACCCTTCCCCAGAGGAGGTTAATAACTGAAAGAATCAAAAATACTCTCTCTGAAAAGGTGTGTGCCTGCGCGCGCTCGAGTGAATGCTAATTCCTAGACCTTGACACAAATTCCTGCTTAGCTAATTAAGTCAGATGAAATTCAAAGGCTATTTACTAAGTCTTATAAGAATGTAAGATTTTAAGTGACTTTTATTTATTTCCTAATAGCCTATTTTCTAAAATTTCTCCAATGAGCACATTAATAATTTAAAATGTAGTAGTTAATTCCCAAATGATGGCACTCTGCTCTCAAGAGGTCAACGTCGCCTGTAAAACTTCACTGTTGTGGGAAAAGGCTCTTCTAAGCTGAGTGCCAGGAGAACTAGGCAAACACCTTCTACACAAGAGCTTTCAGGTCAGGCAATATAAAAGTTATGGAATGATTTTCAACACCTAAATAAAATGTAAGTCCTGACCTGGGCAATAGCTCAAAGCAGAGAATTAAAATGGCTTTATTTCAGATCCCAGTATACATCATAAAAAGCACTAGATGAAAATCTCAGTTCCTTCACAAACCTGACAATGCTTTGGAAACAAAAAAATCCTAATAGCCAAACCAATTCTAGGCAGAAAGAACATAGTCAGAAGCATACTATTACCTAACCTAAAACTACACTACAGAGCCACAGTGATAAAGATAGCATTGTACTGATACGAAACAGACATGCAGATCAATGGACTAGAACAGAAAATCAGAGATCAACCCAGAGTTGTGAATGCCTAAGCTTTGCTGAAGGTGTCAAAAACATTCATTAGGGAAAAAAGTCTTCTCAACAAATGGTGCTGGCCAGAGAGGATATACACCTGAAGAATGAAATCAGACCCATATCTCTCACTCTGCAAAAAAACAAAATAAAACCTTGAGATCTTGGAGTTCGAGGACATACTGATCTATATACTGAGTTCCAGGGCAGCTAGGGCTACATAGTGAGACCCTATGTTGGGGCGGTGGGTGGAGGAGGGGATTTATAAATGTAAAATTGTCTGGGTATGTATATGTGAATAATACAGTTGTTTGTTGGTTTTTTGTTTGTTTGTTTTTCTGAGTTGTGAGAAATCAAACCCTAGGGCTTGTGTACACTTGCCAGGTACTGTATTGAGCTCTACCCTCAGCTCACAAGGTTTCTTAACAGTAACAATGTATCTTACCTATGCCTTACATCTAGGTCAACAAGAAAATAATCTGAAAGTTCTAAAAAGATTCTTAAGAAGGTTTGGGAGGCAGAGCAGACAGACAGACAGACAGAAATCTGTAACTCAGGCTGGTGAGATGGCTCAGCAGGGAAAGAGCACTGGCTCCCAACCTACCTCTCCACACATCTGCAGTGACACACGCACACAGTATATAAACAAAATCTACATCTCAACAGATACAGTATCTAACAGCAAAGGAACTAGAAACCATCTATTACAATGAAATTCTGAAAGAATACCAAAAATAAAGCACTTAAAGTAAACATTATACTTGCCCTTAAACAGTTCAATCAGAGACACACACTGTCAAAACAGGAGAAGTAGAACTGGTTTAACAAACGCCTCAAAAGAGAAAATGAAACTCAAACACACCTCTGCTATTCAGGATGCTTAGAAACTCTCAATACAACTCAGTCACTGTGGTGGTTTGAATGAGAATGATCCCTATAGGCTCATGTATCTAAATATTTGTTTCCCAGTTGGTGGAGTGTTTAGGAAAGAGCAGGAGGTGTTCTTGTTGGAGAAGGCCCCATCTTGCTCTCTGTACCTCCACCCTTCAGATGGGATATCAGTTCCAGCAGCATACCTGCCTGCCTGCCTGCCTGCCTCCATGTTCCCTGCCATGATGGTCATGGACTAAACCCCTCAAACTGTAAGCAAGGCCCTAATTTAACGCTTTCTTTTATAATCTGCCTTGGTCCAGGGTCTCTTCACACTAAAATCAGTAACTAAGACATATTTAATTAAACTGGGGAAAATCACTTTTCTAAGTGCCAAGCCTGAGTAACTTATGATTTAATTAAACTACCACTTTAGAGCTGCTGAGTAGGTCCATAAATGTCAGGTTCAAATATACTTGGTTAATATTTAATAAAAGTGTGTAACATTCATTTTACTTACTACTTTCTTTTTTTTGTTTTGTTTTGTTTTGTTTTTGTTTTGTTTTTTCAAGACAGGGTTTCTCTGTGTAGCTTTGTGCCTTTTCCTGGAACTCGCTTTGGAGACCAGGCTGGACTCGAACTCACAGAGATCCGCCTGCCTCTGCCTCCCGAGTGCTGGGATTAAAGGCGTGCGCCACCACCGCCCGGCTAACTTACTACTTTCTTAAACAGAAGGTATCTTTACCCCTTTCTTTTAAAAAGTGTAACAGGCCCTATGATACTTACGCTGCATAAGCTTTTGCTATCCTCATGAACATAACTTCATCACCTCCTTTATCTGGATGATATTTAAGTGACAACAAGCGATATTGTTTCTTAATTTCTGCTACTGTTGCTCCCTAAAAGGAAAAGCTTTGTTAATACATAAGAACATAATGCAATAAGAAATAATCGACCCTATTTTTATCTTAAACCATGAACTACTCAATATTCTGACAAAAGAAAGTAACATTTTCTCCTATACATTTTGTCTCCCAAGTTTCATCTCATACATATACTTCTCAAGCATTTAACTATATGACATGCAATATACTAGTCACTAATGGTAATAGTGGTGAAACCATATAACTCCACATTTAAATAAAAGTGCAGTGGCTTTAACTATCCAGAAAGGATCAAGAGTAAACTAATACAGCTAAGTCAAAGATCTGCTTTCTTTATGCTCTGAGCAGTATCTCATTTCATCTGCTTCTAAGTATTTTAATATTAAGTAAATATTTTAAAAAAAAGAACTGGCATTGGTTCTCAATCTTACTTTTTACCAATAATTCTGGATCATTTTTATTTCCCTACATCTTTTTATTATATTAAAAAACCAGACTCTGGACTGGAGAGACAGCTAGGTCAGGGGTTCAAGTTCACACTGCTCTTAGAAAGGGTGCACAGGTCTAGTTCCCAGCACCAACAGACCCTGGGCAGCCTCAGAGGATCCAGCACCCTCTGCTGGCTTCTGAATTCTCATGCATAAACCCACACTCACACATACACCCATATGTATACATTTAATAAAATCTAAAAAAATGTTTAAAAAAAACAATCAAATAGAAATCCTATTATATGCAAACTTTTCTTCTACAAAGCAGAAAACTGGAAGATGAACATTCTCCTTAATTTGTATATCAACTTCAAAACCAAGCCATCCACTGAAGAAAATCGAAGTTTAAAACCACAACTACTAGATTCAGTCTGCCTACTAAGCTGTTACAGGACACAGTTTTCTCAGCCTCACCCTCTCTCTTCACTAACTCCAGTTCTAATGTTCTGTAGAAGTTTATCAACTGAGTTCAACCAAAATCTCACCAAAGAACATACTCAAGGACTACCTAATTTCAATGATAATGACAACAGTTTCTTACAAGTACCCCCATCTCAGATTTAAGGTAGTGCATGTGCCAATCAACATGAATGTGTTTTTAAAATATAGTGACTTCTCATCAAGTAATCTTAACAGTTTACTAGTTATAAGCTAATACTTACTACTAGCAACCAACAATACAACAAATGTATTTAAATGATAATGAATTAGATCTTATTTTTTTAAAGAAGTTAACTGACAGGGCTGAAGAGATTGGCTTGGCAGAGAAAAGCTTATACTGCTCTCCCTGAAGTCCTGAGTTCAGTTCCCAGCACCCACCTCAGGCAGCTTTAAACCACCTGCCAACTCCAAGGGATCTGATAGCCTCCTCTACCCTGAGTACACATACAACACAGATGAACATAGTGAAACCTGTCAATCTAAAACAAAACGTTAACAGACCAAAGTCTGATTTCTTTTGGAAATGTCTAATTTGTTTTAGAGTATAAATTTCTAGTATTTAAGATATTGTTAAATTAATGATATTACAGAAGAATACTACTTACAGGATCCAAATTTAATACTTCATAAGGATTGTACTCCTGATATTCTCGGTCTGTTTTGGAAACTTTGTATGCAAGGAATAAGAACAATGCCCATCCTGCAAGCAGAACTATTTTCCTGTTTAGGAAAAAGACAAATGACATAATAAATACATCTGTATGGCTTTCTACAAGATCAAGGAATAAAACCATCTAAAGGAGCTGCACACCACTATGCTACCCCACTGACTCACATCTGTAAATTCCTGTTACAGCAAGGATGGTGCTGTTTTCACTTCTGAATTCTCTAGAATCTAGGAGAGTGCCTCCCATGTTACTATTTGCAGAATTAAATACAGAAATTAATACTAGACTCATTAAAATAGATAAGAAATAGCCAAGAAACCACTTAATGAAAGATTTTTACTGAAATGAAAGAAGTTTACTCTTGACCTAGAAATTATACATTTAGTAAAATAAATTTTTAAAAATTGGCCAGGCATACAAAAATGAATAAATAGCCTTCTTTAAATTGTAAAGTTTGGAAATATTCTGATGTCCATCAGCCATAACTAATTTAAGGAGAGCGGTCAAACCATGATGCAGCCACACAAAAAAACATTTTATAACTAACATAAAAAATGTGCACACATTAAGGACATAAAAGAGCAATAAAAAACTAATTTCTTCTCTCTTGAATGTATTCTACATAGTAAAACCAAATACTAGCATCTTTAAATGTCCATCAATGAATTACTAGGCAAAAAAATAATAATTTTAATCATTCAACCAGAGTGAAATACTTTCTATTAAATGAAAGTAAAATCGGTCATGAAAGACTTTTTTAATGTTAAATTTGAAAGGGAAAACAGCTTTCAAGCTTTGTAAAACACAACCCAATTTCTATAAGCAGAAACGTGATTAGAAGAGTACGAAGTAATCAAAATCTTTAGGTGAAAAATGAACTATCAGATCCTCTGTATGACAATTTGTTACAATGAATAGGATTTGTTAGACAAAAACATAAAATAATCAAACAGAACTGCAATGACTGGCTTTAAGAGCAAAGAGAAGGTCCCTTGTTTAGCTTTGTTTCCATCCCTGCACTGAGATGACATCGAGGGCCTTTCCTGTCTCTGCTAGGCAACAATTCTACACTCAGCTGTACTTCTGCTCTTTGGCAGAACCTAGCTTAAATGCACTTATCATTTGGAAATGAGCCAACATCTGGAATCACCTAGGAGGATTCCTTAGTTTTCTGTTTACCCGATTTTCAAAACAGATTTTTGTTCTTCAATGTTCCATAAGCTTTCCCAAAAATCACACATTTGCTCTCTTGTATCTGTCAAAATCTCAGTTCCCATGTGTGCGTGCCTACCTACACAAACTTTAAATTCATCCTTCAACTCAACTAAAACGACCCACCTTTCAAAAGCAATCCTTTGAAGAGAACAGTTACAGCTGCAAAGCAGCACACACAGTAACTTTTTCCTTTGACTTGCTGCAAATTCCTTTGGCACCTGAACAAGATCTTATCCAGTTTTTACTAACCCCTGGGTAGTTTAATCAACAGTGGGAACTGAGATACAAGTTTCTTTCCATTTGGCCAAAACAATATTCTAAAGCGCGCACACACACACACACACACACACACACACACACACACACACACACACATACACACACACACACACACACACACACACTGAGGAAGGGTCTCAATAGAGCCTAGGCTGCCCATAAACTCACTATGTAAAGGAAGATGACTTTGAACTTCTGACCCTCCTGCTTCCACAGCCCACATAAGGGCTAATCATGCAGGCATGCACCACCACACCTGATTTAGCATGCACCACCACACCTGATTTAGGAGTCAAACCAAAGGCTTCCAGCATGGTTGGCCAGCACTCTACAAAGTAAGTTGCATCCCTAGGTATATTTTAAACCCTTTAAGAGTATAAACTTCAAGCTGTTTTCCAGCCTACCTAAATGCCCACATATATGCCCAAAGAGGAGAGAGAACACTATGAAGAACATCCCCCTCTTTTTTCCTGGCCACAAAACAAAACTCACTAGCTTAACTCCCACTGTTATTACATATTAATTAAGAAAGTTTGGTAAGCTGCTTAAGCTATATATCTCAATTCCAACTTCGATGACGGGTTTGACAATTAAATGAGATTTAAAATTTTAAGTACTTTGAAAGTGACTCATATGTAGTAAACATAATCAACTCATGGTAGCTATGAGCTACTACTAATAACTCTTCCCCAAGTCTCGGGGGCTACAGATAGAGATCAACAATAGAACATTTAACTAGCATTTGCAAGGTTCAACCCCACTACCACAAAAAACAAAAACAAAATAACAAAACATCTTAGCCACACTTACAGCCCACTCAAAAAGCCTTCTCTGTCTTGGGCCAAGTGAGCGCCCCTTCTGCTGCTCTTCCATAGCAACTCCCCCCAGTCCTCACTGCTATGGTTTAGCAGTATAGAGTACAAAACAGTGGTAGAACTAGGGTTGAGGAGACAGTTCAATGGACAAGCCTGAGAGTCAGAATTCATATCTCTAACACCCACATAAAAGCTAGGCAGGTGTGATTACCTATTACACCCCAGTGCTTGGGGGAGCAGAGATGCGAACCCTGGGGCAAATGGGCTAGACAGACTTGCTGGGCAAACTCCAGGTTTACCAAGAACCCTGTACAATAGTTTTAAACATCAACTTACCATGGTCTAGATCACCTGAGAAAAGAACCTCAATCAAGGGACTGTCTAGATTAGACTGGACTATGGGCATGTCGATTGTTAAGTGATACAGGAAAGACCTAGCCCACTGTGGGCAGCATCATTCCCTAGGCAGAAAGTCCTGAGCTACATAGAGATAGGAGAAATCTAGATTAAAGCTAACTAGCAGGAAGAAGGCAAAATAGGTGTCTGCCCAGAATATAATCTCTGCTCTTATCTGTAACTAGCAACAGATATAAAACTAGAACACTCTACACCTCAGTAAATAAAGTAGAAAATTGTTCAGACACCAGATGTCAACCTCTGGCTTCCATACATACATAAAACCTAAGGACATGTACCCACTCACATCTGAACACACATGCACACACTCACCATACACAAAAAGATGTAGTGGATCTTTCTTTAAGAGATGAGGTCTAGGGCACTAAAGATATGGCTAGTGGTTTGCTCTTGCAGGGGACCAAGTTTGGTTCCCAGCAATCACATCAGGTGATTCACAACTGCCTATAACTCTAGTTACAGGGGATTTGACACCTCTTCTGGACCCTTGTATGTGTATCATAGGTATCTGTATCATCCATATCTGTATCCATATATGTCTATGCATCTGTATATGTATCCTTGCACCATGATGCCATCTACCAAGTTGTAATGTTATTCCAAAGGTTACAAACGGATGGGGCTGAAAGACCTTGGACTTTCAGCATCTAAAACTAAAATAAGCTAAATAAGCCTTGTTTGTTATAAAGTACCCAAACTCAAGTATTTTATTACAGTAACAAAGAAAAAAAAGAAATGAACTAACATTATTTACTAAATTTGCTACAATTGTCTAAGGTTCACATCTTTGAATCATATCTATCTTGTTTTTTTTTTTTTTTTAAATTGTTTTTATTTTTATTTGCATTGGTGTTTTTGCTGCATGTATGACTGTGTGAGGATATCAGATCTTGAGTTACAGACAGTTGTGAGCTGCCATGTGGGTGCTGGGACTTGAACCCAGGTCCTCTGGAAGAGCAGTCAGTGCTCTTAACCACTGAGCCATCTCTCCAGCCCCCATATCTATCTTGTTAATCGCTGTGTATCTAGCACTTTCTATATCTGACTCATAATAGGCACACAACGATTACATGTAAAAGCAGAAAATTCTAAGCATAAAACTAAAGTTTGCTAATATTCTCAATAATCTAAAGAACACTTGAAAATGCTATTCACAAACAGTAACTCTTCACTTTGATAAAATCTAAAAGTCTAACAAATCTTATGAGGTTTTATGAAACAGATAAAAATGACAAATCACAAAGGCTAAGCAAACCTAAGAAAAAGAACAAAACCTTCCAGATGCTAAACTCTATTAGATGCTTCATATTTGGCATCTGTTCTCAGAGCCAAGAACAGAAGAGAAGGCTCATGACAGGATCTCCTGAGCTGATGAAAACCATTCCAACCAATAAAACCATACTCCAGTTCTTAGAGAGCCAAAGAGGGGAGGCAGGGGACCTGGGGGATGACATGACATGATTATGCTCTGTATCCAATTTTCTAAAAGAATATTTGGTTCCTCCAAAAAGACAAACATTTCCTCAAATGCAGATTCAGTAAATTAACTTAGAATGTCTTCTGCATTTTTTTTTCCTTTTAACCATATTTTAAATGTAATTTGGAAGCTACTTCCAGAAATAATATAACTTAGTTTCAGAGACACTGGCAGGAAAGAAGCACTAGGTAGTAGAAAGAAGCAAGAGTGTTCATAATTTCTAACTTTATCTAAACTATCACCAGAATCTAGTCAGTAGTTCTCTGACCTTCATTCTGAATTAAAGAAGTCATTTATTTATTACTGAAAAGGCCTCCAACTTTTTTCCTTGAAAACTGAGGCTCAAGGTTGATGGGCAGGGTTATCAGGAAATGAATCTGCTTCACAAGCCTGATGACCCGAGTTCAATTCCCAGAGCCCTCATAAGGTGTGGAAAAAAGAAGCAATCCACAAAGTCATTCTCTGTCCTCTACACTGATGTAGTGTGCAGTGACATGTGTATACACACACACACACACACACACACACACACACACACACACACACACACACACCAGATAAATTAAGAAGAAGAACAAAATTGTAATCCTCGGATACTCAGAAGACAGAGTCAGATGAATGCCTGTGAAGTCCAAGGCCAGCCTGATCTACACAGTTAGTTTCAGGCAAGCCATGGCTACATAGTGAGAACCCGTCTCAAAAAAAGAGAAGGGTGTGTGTGTGTGTGTGTTTATAAAATTTTAATTTAAAATGAGAATAAACAGCAAATAAAAGTGAACAGAAGGCTACACTGGTCTCAGTGCTAACTGCATTTAGCTTCACATCACTGAGTAATAAATACCAAAGCTAAGATTCCCTCTCTCTCTGTGCAGAAACCAATCCTTTCCCTCTGAAAACATCTTATTTCAACCCTCTGAAGTAACCCAACTATGTTTAAAACCATCCTCATCATTTAAAGCCAGACTTAAAACAACTGGTCTAACTCTTAACCCTCCACTGGGCAGGTAAATGTGGGTAATTCACCAGTGGGTTCTTCTGCAGTAGCAACCTCCAATTCCCATCATAGATAATCTAGTGGCTGAGCTAAAGACTTGACATAAAGCAGCGTAAAGCACACCTTTAGCTTCACAGAATCAAACACTTGCTAGTGGCTTGTCTAAGCAGATGAACCTGCCAAAATTACGATGATATGGTCCTGCTCTACCACATCCACTGCATGATTCTGGCCAAATCAACTCATTTCTTAGCTCCAGCTTAAGGAAAATCATAAACACTTGAAATTAACACAGAATCAAATAAATATATTAAGCATATGGCAACACGTGCTAAACTTTAGTTATCATCTTGAAATTCATGCCCAATCTTGCCAGTCTTTGAAATCTTTGAATTCCATAGAGACCTCAACCTCAATCTTCAATTCTAGCACGTAACATATACAGTCTTCAAACAAGGGCTGACTCACATACCCTTCTCGTTTTGACTTTTAATCTGTTCACAGCTCTCAAGATTACTAATCAAACCTCAACCCTGTCACAGGCTACAATTTCTTTCCAGGCACCCATGTAAGCCATCCTCAGATTCCCTAATTCATGATATCTAAGCAAAGAGTAAGTACTCAGTACATTTTCTTATTGAAATCCATTACTTACTTTACTGTAGGAATAATATTTGGCTGGGGTTTTAATAATCGTAAACGATACCACATACATCTTCCATATACTTTTCTGATATTCTTTAATCGAATTTGCTCTGTCAAGAAAGAAAAGTAAGATTAGTTCAATTATTTTTCACAGTGAAATCTGAACCATATCATACTAACCTTCATTACTATCCTAACATTTTGTCAAAATATACAAGTCTTGCCTATTTATATAATCATTATAAAAATTCATAAACTTTGCGAAGTTGTCACTTACAATGAATAGTATCTTGTGGTGATATTGTGTTCCCCAATATACCGTGCACCCTAATAAATTTATCTGGGGTCAGAGAACAGAACAGCCACTAGACAGACATAGAGGCCAGAAAATGGTGGCACTCACACCTTTAATCCTAGCCTTCTGGAAGCAGAGATCCATCTGGATCTCTGTGAGTTCAAGGCCACACTGGAAACAGCCAGGCATGGTGACTCACGCCTTTTATCCCAGGAAGTAACAGCAGAAAGCAGAATGGTATATAAGGCGTGTGAGGACCAGGAACTAGGCTGGTTAAGCTTTCAGGCTTTTAGCAGCAGTTAAGCTGAGATTCATTCTGGATGAGGACTCAGAAGCTTCCAGTCTGAGGAAACAGGATCAGCTGAGGAAATGTCGAAGTGAGGAAGCTGTAGCTTGTTCTGCTTCTCTGATCTTCCAGCATTCACCCCAATACCCAGCTCCAGGTTTGTTTTTATTAGTAAGACCTGTTAAGATTTGTGCTACAGTATCTGGAAAAGTTTAACTAATAAGAAGCAAGTATTTTCCATGGGAAACTTCTCCAAAACTTTAGAAACTAACTTGAACCTATGAAGCCTGGGTCATATAACCAATTGTCTGCACATTTCTCTATTCTCTCCTTGTATAGAACAAAAGCATAAACTAATCAAAATATGGTTCATTTAGTAACCAAGGAGAAACAATAGTCAAGTACGGAAATAATTATCTAACCACATATATTCTAACCAACAAGGTTCAGAATTTTACCTACTGAAAATGTGAAACAAACAGAATTTGTAGTTTTACATGAAAATCAATGGAGAGCTGAAACAAGAGTGGACAGTAAAATTCAGTATCACAAGTTTTAATTATTTTATATTAAATTGAGAAAGACAGTCAAATCTGTAAGAACTTAAGACAGGCCTGTGTAAGAGCTGTGACAAAATTATTTTAGTCACTTCAAAAAGCTGCAATTCAATTAAAAATGATAACCAAACCTAAAATGTGACATACTGTTCTACTGAACTTAGCACAATCCTTTAGTTTCAATACCCTCCCTAGATTTAAAAAGCATGTTTAAGGGGCTGGAGAGACGGACTGGAGAGATGACCTAGCAGTTAAGCGCATGGCTGTCAAGTTCAAATAGGCTGTGATGTAGCTCTATGGTGGCAGTGTAGTTAAGGTCAGCAGACCAAACCGTCCTTCTGGAAAGAAAAAGACATGCTCAACAACTCCACAGCTCCTAGCTGGGATGCCTGCAATGTTCCCAACAAAGTTGGGATCATGTAGCCTGAGTCCAGCTGGGCTAATGCTGTTGTTTTCTTTACCATATTATATATACAAAAATATATACAAAACTGAAATCCTTACATGAGATAGTAGATAGGTAAAACAATTTGGCATGCAGGGCCAGTGAGGTCCTCAGTGGGTAAAGGCACTGACCACTAAGCCTGACAACCTGGGTTCCATCCCTGGGACCCATAGGTGGAAAACAAGAACTAACTCCTGTAGGTTCTCCTGACTTCTGTATGTATGCCAAGGAATGAATATGCATGCATGCACAAAGGCACATACCTCTCATATATTTTGAAATTCTTAAACACCATGGTGGGCAGGGTGGGGGGTTGGGAGGGGGGGCTGGAGAGATGGCTCAGGGGTTAAGCTCTTCCAGAAAGCCTGGTTTCAATTCCCAGCAACCTCGTGGCAGCTCACAACTGTCTGTAACTCCAGTCCCAAGTAGGCTGACACCTTCTTCAGTCCTCTGCAGCAGGCACTGCCCACATCACATGTGGCTCACAAGACACAGATACCGGCAAACATCCTTACAAGTCAGGAGTGGTGACATATACCTTTAATCCCAGCACTTGGGATGGGGAGAAAGACAAGACAGACAGATCTCTCTAAGTTTGAGGCCACCAATCTGGTCTACAGAGCAAGTTCCTGGGCAGCCAGGCCTATATAAAGAAACTGTCTCAAAAAAAAAAGGCAGGAAGTCAACTGCACACTGTGACAAAGGCATTCACATGCTACCTGGCAGGGGCATCCACATGCTACTTGGCAGGGATATCAATGTAATTAAGACAGATCCAGGTAGAAGAAGAGGTGGTAACAAAGAAGTTTTATACATGCAGGTAGACTGATCAAAAAAAGTTAATATATCAAAAAATTAAAATCTGGCAGCGGTGGTGCACGCCTTTAATCCCCGCACTCAGGAGGCAGAGTCAGACAATCTTTGTGAGTTCGAGGCCAGCCTGGGCTACAGAACGAGATCCAGGAAAGGCGCAAAGCTACACAGAGAAACCCTGTCACAACAAAACAAAACAAAACAAAAAAACCCCTAAAATGTGGTGATATTTTATGTGTGCTTTAATAAATAAGGCTTGCCTGGCAATGAGAGGAAAAAGGCCAGCCATTACAAGTAAACAAAGAAGTCAGGCAGGGGTAGCACACACCCTTAATCCTATCACTTAGCAGGCAGGATCTCTGTGTGTTCAAGGCCACACTAGGGAACAGAGCCAAGCATGGTGACACATATCTTTAATCCCAGTACCAACCATAGAGGTCTGGAGGTCTGCACAGACAGACAGTGACAGAGCTGTGTAAGAGGAAGTAATGTAGCTGGGCTTAGAAAGCCAATGAGAGAACAGAGCAGAAAAGGGATATAAACATTAGATAAAGGAAGAAGCTCTCTTTGGAAGCTGCAGAGTTGATGAGGTGAGGTTAGCTCGTGGTTTGTCCTATTCCTCTGATCTTTCTCTTGGCCTTTAACCCAAATTTCTGGCTCCGTGTTTTTTATTTATTAAGACCATTTAGAAATTCATCTATACTAAAATCTACTTTTTCCTGTCAGAGAAAATAGTGACAAATATAAAAGACACAAGACTAAACCTGGACTATTAGCCTGGAAGTGAAAGTACTGATATAAATTAATGTAACAATATAACGCCAGGTGTGGTAGTGCACACCTTTAGTCCCAGCACTCGAGAGGCTAGCCTAGTCTACAGAGCTAGTTCTAGGACAGCCAAGGCAACACAAAGAAACTGTCTCAAAAAACCAAAATTTAAGAAGGAAGGAAGGAAAGAAGGAAGAAAGAACTATACAGACACTGCTCTCTCCATAAATCCCTACATATTCCCTACCTCTGTACACTAAGCAAGACTAGGAGAGCAAAATCCCAGCAGCAGTGAGCACGGTATCCAGATTTTGGCTTCTAAACAATAGGAGCCAGAAATCTCAATACCCAGAAACCAGAATTCACTGTACCTTTCTACAAAATATTAATTACCACAGAGGAAAGGAATGACTTTCCAATGTAGAAGAAGCAAGCCTCCCAGGATGGCAACATCCTCATGCAAGGAACTATCTTAAATGGCAAACAAACTTTTACGTAAGTGAATTAAGGCTCTTGAAATGGGGAGGTTACCCTAGGAGGACCAATATAACCAAGTAATGCCTCTCAGAGGGAGATAAGAGAGCTAAGACAGGAAGTGATAAAACAGTGAAACCAAAGGTCAGACTGATGCTCTTTTGAAGATGAGTAAGGGGCCACAAGCCAAGGAACACAGACTGTCTCTAGGAGCTGGAAAAGATCAGTGAATTTTACTACAAGGTCTCCAAAGGAACAAGCCCTAGCAACATCATTACTTCCTACTTAAACCCATTTGTACTTCTATCATCCAAAACTGTACAAAAATAAATCTGTGCTGTTTTAAGGCACTGTATGTGATTGTCTGCTACAACAGCAACAAAAAATTAATACAGAAAACCTGACAGACAACACTTTAAGTGACCAGTGAATAATGCCAGTAAAAGAGCAAACTCAAGTATATACCACCTGACAAAACGCAATGAAAAGAACAGACTCATCAGATATAAAATATGAATCTAATCATACAAACGCACCAGACAACCCAAATTAAAGTTCATTCTATTAAATAATTAGCCTAAAGTCAGGGGAAGATAAAGGACTATTCTAGACTAAAAGGAAGACTAAAGAAACATGTCAACTAAATGTGATGCACAGTTCTGAACTTGAATTTTTTCTACAAAGGACATCACTGAGACAAGTGACAAAACCTGAATGGGGTCTGACAGTAAGACAGTAATGTCAAATTTCCTGATTTTCGTGGTTAAATTATGAATTAAAAAAATACTACTGTAAAATTTTAATGTGCTTTTCATTAAATTAAGCTTCATCAGACTCCCATTTTAAGTATAAAACTGAGAAACCCTTTGTAATAATGATGCTTAAGTCTATGAACCAGGCAGCTTGATTTAATCAAAGGAAAAAAATTCTCCTAATGTCCCTGGCTAAAAGAACATGCACGTGGCCTGCAGCCTTGAAAAATATGTACCTACACCTTATAAGCCATGCTCTCCGACCCTAAAAATAATATCTTAGCCTTTTGAAAGAATATTTAAGTCAATACGTGTTATAAGAGACAGTTGCATATTATCATAACGATGTTTAAATTTGCAGCAAAATTAAATATTCATAGAACACATTCCAAATTGATATCATGACTTTAAGTCAAAGAAACCTATCCTTTTTAAAGTTTTTTTAAAACATTTTTTAAAGATTTATTTTATGTATATGAGCACTTGGCTTTTATGTGTGTCTATGTATTATGTGTGTGCCTGGTACCTGTAGAGGTCAGAAAAAGGCATCAGATTCCCTGGAGTCCTGGATGGTTATGAACTGTCATGAGGGGCTGGGAATCAAACCTGGGTTCTCTGCAAGAACAGTGCTCCTAACTGCTGAGCCCTCTTTGCAAACCATTCACTGTACAGTTTAATGATACACTCTGAAGTCAGTTCATTTACCAACTTCTATTTAGA